ACTGACCCATGGCGAGCTCGGATTGTGGCGGTGTGGGCTCATATTTTTCAGGTGGTGGTGAGTTGACCAAAGGCCAACCCTAACCCGCCTCTTTTGGCGGGTTGACGGGTTTAACCAGCGGGTTCAACCCATATTACCGGCTCTAGTTAGTGCGTGTAGATTTTCCCCCTTTCATTTTGGGTCCAAGTTTGGTTTGTGGTTATTATGCATTTTTGTTTATCTTATCTTGTTTAGAAAGACAATCTCATGATAAGAACTTGACGGATGGAATATAGAAAAGGAAAAAAAAAATTGAAGATCAATCAAAAGACTTAGAAATATTTTGTTTTAAATTCTTCTAATTTTCTAAAAGGATAATATTCTTAAATATCTCAGAAGTATATATAAAGCAGCATTCAGCACCTAAAAGTTTTTTTAAGCTCTTATATATCTTGAAAGTGTTATTCGTAACATTTCTATCATGAACTATTATCCACCATTTAGTTTAATCACTAAAAACACTGGTCAAATTGTATAATTCAACAGTCAAATTTAACGATAGATAATAGCCATGGTATTTTTGCTATGAAAATAACTTTCAAAGCATATAAGAGTTAAAAAAAAAAATTTCAGGTGCTAGGTGCTCTTTCGTGAATACCTTTAGGATATTTAAGCACCTTATCTCTTCTTTAAATATTTGTATCTTTTAAATTAGATAAAAGTGTAGGTTTGATTCTCTCACTTTAGATAATGTTTTATATTTTAACTAGACCCTTTAATTTAAAAAAAGTATCTTTTTAATCCTCTAACTCTATTTCTATTCATATTAGATTATGATTTTTTTCAAAACAATCATTCTTATCTTAAAAATTAAATTTAACATGTCAGTATTTAGAATATTTCATCAACATTTAAAATATAATTTCAGTAATTTTTTTTAGTAAAACATTAAGTGTACACTATTACTATAAAATTATTTTACAAGTGATTTTATTAGTATTAATCAAATCATCCTAAAGAGAAAAATTATTTCTCAAGTTACCAACAAAAAGGTCCGCACTTATCAAGTGAAGTGGTTGACTTTTCACTATTAGGCAGCCGTCTAGAGGAGGTGCCAACATTCACCTCGTCTGGTATAGGGTAAGAGCTATTATTAATCTACTATGCAATGAAAGAAAGTAAATTATAAAATCTATAGATTGTTATATTATTTACATTAAGATTACAGAAAATAAAATAAAGAGTTTAGGTAAAAATCTATTCATCAAATATTGGTGAATGTACTTTGATATCATAATGTTCACTTGAGTGTAAAAATAAGACTCATGAAGATTCCAATAGGCTACAAAAATACCATGATTGTTAATTTAAGCAGACGTTAATAATTTTTTTAATTACATTAAGATTACAAGAAAATAAAATAAAGAGGTTAGGTAAAAATCTATTCATGAAATATTCATGAATGTACCTTGATACCATAATGTTCACTTGAGTGTAAAAATAAGACTCATGAAGATTCCAAATAGGCTGCAAAAATACCATAATCATTAATTTAAGCACACGTTAATAATTTTTTTAACCGCAGGTCCCATATTCTTTTATGTTCTAAAAGTTAACCAATGTTTGCTTGAATTAATGGCCATGACTTTTGTGCATCTTTTTGAAATATTAATGAGTATTTTTGCATCCAAGTGAATATTATAATGTCAGGTGCATATTTACAAATTGCTTTATAAGTATATTTGTACCTTAAATCTAAAATAAAACCATGGCAAGAAAAAGGGACAAATCACATGCAAAACGTTGTAGACATCGAACTTCTTGGTTTAATTTATCTGTAATTCTTTTATAATTTATACGTGATTACGCATATAAAGCTGCTTGGAGTGCACAAATTGCAGACGACCAGCTAGCTAGATATTTTTATGAAGAATATGAGAGGAGGGAACAATAATTGAAAGTGAGGAAACCAAACATGTCGTTTGACAGATGAGAATGTACTTTGTGTTTTGTATCTGATTGAGACTGTTTTCTGATCATTTATATCCTTATGGGCATTGAATCCAAACATGTTTTTGACTCTGCACTCCTTTGCACCTCTTTCTATTTGCAAACATGGGGCCCTCCATTCTAATTATATGTCTCTTGATATTTCCATATCATTTTCAGTCCAAAGCTGCTTTGTGATTAATATGATCCTTTTTCCTTTATTTTGATTTTTTTTTAAGAAATGTGAAGGTTGGTTTGTACTTTTTAAAGTTTCTTTGATCATAAAGATATTATAATATTAAATGTTGGGTTATGTTTTTTTAATCTTCTTTTAATGATGAGCTAGATAACTTTACTCACCCAACCCACTTGACACACTGTTAATCTTTTATTTTTAAATGAGGAATTAAACTCCTTCTGTTCTATATTTATAAATTATAAATATTGCGACTCATTTCAAACTTATAAAAGAATCTCCTATCTACATAAATTTTAACAAGGATATAATAAACATTGCATGATTCCATATTTTTCATGCAGGGGGATTACTTATGAGTGAGACATGACATTTAATTTGATTTAATTAAAAGCCGATTCCTTACTTTTTTAAAAAATTAATAAAGGCACAGTCTTGTGTTTAAAATTATCTTTGTTGTATCAAATCACTTGTATGTTGAAAATTTATGTTAGATCTTGACTTATTTAGGTCAGGTTGAGAAAGACAAGAAGAGTAATAAATCTCTTAACCAATATTTAATGCAATTACATCCTCAAAATTTGAACCCAAAATTACTTGTTAAGTTAGCACAACTTATCTGTGGTTATATTTAAAATTATCCTTTTTGTTACGTATTTAGAAGGGTTAATATAATCTTTGGTCTATAAAATTTGTTCTCATTTTGATTTTAGTCTCTCAAATTTCAAACTATAGGTTTTGGTCTTTCAAAGGGCAAAATAGTTCAAGTTTTTATTAGATTCTAAAAACCAATGTTTTAAATGAAAAGAAACTTAAAAGACCAAAATCTATTATTTGAAATTTGATGGATCAAAACCAAAATAAGGATCAAATTGAAAGATCAAGGTTTGTATTAATCATATTTAAAATTATTTTGACAACACAGTTGAAAAGATATTAACACTAAACGCAGAATGAATTGATTCCACGTAACAACCGACCAAACTGATTGGATGTGTGAAGAAGTGCAAGTGGTTTTCAAGTTGGACAGTAATTTGGGTGAGAAGTTTGAACCAAAACCACAAATTGTGGTGAGAATATCTGACTGGTGAAAAAGAAGCAGCCACAAGATGGCCCAAGAATCTCTCTCTCTCTCTCTCTCTCTCTCACAGACACACACAGAGGGCTTAATTATGAAGGACTCGATCAATCGATCATGCATTTTGTGTGTGTGAGTCTATTTATGGATCCCTCAATGAATCTGAGAAGGGGAATACTTACTATTGTGAAAATGAAATGAAAGAACAATGACGGATTGTGACAATACTTCAGTTGTGAGGCAGATATAGGAGAGGCATTAACTTGGACTGGACATTCCCCAACTTGGCCATTGTTCGTACCACCAGCCCCAAAAATAAAATTTTAAGAAAAAAGAAATTTTATTTTAATGCACATCAAGATATTTACTATCGGTAGCTATAACTAATTCTACTGTTGCGAGCCTCCACTGAAGGGTAAACAGCTAGCCGTGAGATCACTTGGTTAAGAGACCAAGTGAGATAACCACTAGGCCACAACGGCATGGTTTAAGAAAAAGAAAATATACTCTTCTGGTCCTTAATGTAAGACCCATTTAATTAATTTGATTAAATTAAAGAAGTTAGATAAGTTAGTTAATTATAAGAAATGTGACACATTTTTCTTAAAATACCATAATCATCTTTCTTAATACCCTATCTCCCTCTTCTACTTGATTATGGTTGAGAAAGTATTTATAGGGGTAATTTAGAGAAAATTGATAAATATGATAAATGAGTCTTATATTTAGGACCAAAACCAACTCAACAATTAGGTTTTATATTAAAGACCGGAAGAGTATGACTATAACTTTTGCAAAGAGCAAGACTTGAAGAGCCACTTCTCACCCTCTTTACAACACATTAAAAAAAAAATTAGGAAACTTTCCATGCGAAATTAGACGGTCATCTTTGACATGTATTGTTCGAATTATGCTGTTAATATGTACAATATTATTTAATTTATTTGACAATTAGAGTTTAGGTAAAATTTAAAGTTTTAATATATCTTTTATGATGGAAATTGGCGACTAAGTTTTGAGTCGAGCTTTAAGTGGCTCAAGCTTCCTCATAGAGCTTTCAGCTTGACTCTTTACAGGGTCTAGTGCCCATTATATTCACCATGAATTCTCACACAATCACTCCCTCTATGAAACTAGCAAGAAGATTAGACATCTCGTTCTTGTTATGAGAGACTGGATGATCACTTTTGACCATGTGTTTAGAGACGCAAACACGTGTGCCGATCCAGAGTATGCTAAATTACTGCTGATTCCTCCACTTCTTGATCTTTTGGTTTGAGTTACTATTGACTGTTTGATGGCCGAAACTTGTGCAAAACTAGAGGATTATGATTGTTTTTGCGGTGGCTGACGGCACAGCTATGGTTTTTGGGAAAATGAGTAGAGTTTTCTTTTTTTGATCAAAGGTGTCATAGGCCATTTCACAACATAAACAGACACATTGGTTACAAATTATATCATAGTTTTATAGTTATGCCAAACAAACTTTTAATCCCACTTTCACTTTTACACTTTTATTTCCAATTCCTTCAAAAACTATTCCCAAAACGAGGCATCAGGATGAAAGAATATTTTGAGATTTAATGACTTGATTTCTCTTACACGATTTGTCTGGGTCCTTCAAAAACTATTCCCAAAACGAAGCTTGCTATTGTTGTGGAAGTCTCCTGAGTTTATGGTAACCTAATTTAGAGTTGATATACACCAAAGACACGGTGGGCTTTGATTGGATCATGTACAAAGGCTTGCCGAAAGACATACTCAACAAGTGCAACTTAAATTTGGAGTACCATTGCGGAATGATAACCCTGCTAAAACCTAACTTAAATTTCAGATAAAAGAAATCATAAAATGGGAAACAATTAAATATATCAAGTAAGACAAATTAGAAAGCCAAAGAAAACCTACTAGAAACAAAATACAGCCATAATAATAAATTAATAAAATTCTAAATAAATCCTAAATAATATCCTATCATAAATCCTTGCTAAATATCCTTATCCCATTATTTATTTCCTTCCACCATTATTATTTATTTCTTTTCACCATTTGCGAGACCCCGGCATCCAGTAAGGTGTTCCAGACCTGCAAATTTTCAGGTATTACAGTTATTAATTAATGATCTTCAAGAAAATAATACAATAAATTACATTACACTCACTTTCAATTTTCCCTTGTAGCCTCCTATAGCCAACAAGAAAGGATCGTCCTTTGAGAAAGAAATAGAGAAGACAGGTCCCTAACGAAACCGAGAGAAAATGCAAAAAGTTATAACGCATCCATATCAGTATCAGACACTCAGCACTTGAATTGCACTTAAATAGTCATGTCTTGTATTAGTGTCAATAACTCAATAGCAGTATTGCTCGAGTTATTGGACTTATTATATTCAAAGATAAGGCATTCATCGGGGACAATGAAATCGATAGGCAAAAGCCATGTAACTTACTGTCTTAGGATCATAGGATGTTACATGAGACGGTTGTTGGTTTGACAAATCCCAAAGTTTTACCTGCGAAATAAAATAAGCAGTCACTTATGAACTTCCATTATATAAGATACAGACGCAGGATAATAACAAAATGACTTCACAATTACCGTCTTATCCATGGATGCAGTGGCGAGAAGCTGCAAGAAGACATGTCAAGAAAGCACAGTTACACAAGAGCACCCAAGAATTAGGAATTCTGATATGACCAAAAAGTTGAAGATACATACATTAGCTGCTGATATATTATAGGATACTGAGGTAACAGCTTCATCATGCGCGTGAAGAGTGAAAATAGTTGACTGAGATGTTGAATTGGATTGGATAGCACGAACATCGATACCCTTGACAATACCGTTATCAAGACTCACCTAAAATGTAACTTCAAGTCAGGATTGCCCTAGAAAAACCTAATTCCAAACCCATTAAAAATATCATCAAACCCTCATGAAATATGACCATTGAAATATAAGCACTGAATAAAAAGAACAAACCACAAATGAGTGCTCAGCATGTGGATCCCACGCCAAGCTCTCTACGTCAGCTGGAACTGACCACTTAAAGCCAGAATGTGACGGCATCCTTACGTCCTTCTGCTAAGTGTAACAGCATTAGAAACATCGAATTTATAGTGAAAAATAATGGATAAATATATAAACGTACATAAAATCAAGTTTCACGTACTGACATAACTGAGAAACTACAAATGACTTTCAAAAATTCATTCTCTTTCAGCGTATGAATATACAATTATGACATAATAGGAAGACAAAATAGAACTAACTTGAGATAGTAGAACATTACCATGACTACAGTTTTATCAAAAGACCCACTGAGAAGAATTTGTGGTGCATAATGATTCCAAGCAACTGCTTGAACCTGACAGGATAGTTCAAACAGTGAATTTGACAGGCATCAGGATAACTACAAAAGTCCCCTAAATCAATCTTGTAAAATTAAATTACAATATTTCTCCCTCCTTAATAATGTAGAACTTGACCAACAACACCTCAAGAAAGTCTCATTAAACTGTTAGCTATATCTGCATATTTAAATTTAAGAATACTGAAAAATCTAAAGAGTATTGTAGAACACTCCAGGTGATCAAAGTGGATTCATATAAAAATTGTGAGGTGAAGATCATCAAAACCCACCCACTATTCTAAGTAATTGTTCCAAATATGCTTACAGAGGAGGGGAAAAACTTTTTTATAATCAATAAAACATAAGCTAAGAAATTGAGCCAGGTCCTCTTGAGGTTAGTTCTAAGTTCTTGCCTTGTCTGAGTGATGCTCCATCGTCATGTCACATCTCCCAGTAGCCACGTCCCAGAGCTTCACTCGCTTGTCAGCACTAGCACTTGCAAGTATATTCCTGCATTATTGTTTTAGGGAACAGTGTGAGGAGGAAGGATCCCAGAGACCAAAAAATCATAAAAAACTCTTAGAAAAGGCATCCAGAAAAACAAACGCCGAATTATAATTCAAATTGAATGAAGTGGTACTTGTTCCAAGCAAGAGAAAGTACTGAATCAGTATGACTGCCATCCTTGAACTTTTTGGATTTCTGTCACCAAATTGAAAATTTTAACTAAATCAGAGAAATATGCTCATCTAGAGAATTAAAATCCAGTGTTGAAAAAGCTAAATGGACGAACAATAATTCACATATAAAAAGAATCAAAGAAAATACAGAGTTAATCAGATCTTTATCTACACTCAAGAACTCTTTTCTTTAGCGTCTAACTTTTTCAACTTCATATAGGACAAGCATAACATCCAAGCTAAAATAAAACAGCCTTCATCAAAATGCAAGACCATTTCATCGATGTCTATATTCACAGTGTAAAGCCAAAACATCTGTATTTTGATTCGCATCTAGTAATACACATTAGCCAAAGGTTCACCATATGAAGTTCGAAAGCACCAAACATATATATCCATTAATAGGTTTTGTGTCAGAATCCTGATTTCAAAAGGCGCAGATTTGAAGACTCAGTTATCTGAAATTCTGAACATGTATTGCTAAGCTAACTATCACCACATAGTTTCCATACTCGGAAAATGACCACATAGGCATTTTTTCCACCTAGACTCCCATTATAAGCCTTTTCCTATTATTAAATTACAATACTATGTTTCTTTTTAGAGATTAATGTAGCCAAATACGATTTTATGGGGATTCGAAATCCACAATTATCATAAATCTGAAACAAACCTTTCCTTTTTTCTTTTTCTTGGCAAAGCCTCCTAAAACCATACATGGCTTTACTTCATCAACCTGAGAACGACAGAAAATTAAATTTGACTTGGCAAAACAACCTCCCAGTTTGAGCAAATTTATTAGATATTAGTGATCTCATAGACACAATCCACTAACAATATCAAGGTCCCAAATCTCGATGGAAGGTTCATCCTCAAAACCGACAGCAATGAAGTTCCCTGTGAACAAATTGTAATCGCAATTAAGAGAGTCGGTTAAAGTCACAAAGTACATATCAAATGTTATGCCCACAGATAAACAATTACCTAACCATTGAAAAAAATTGTTTAATGGTCTACACCAGCTATGATTAAAAGCACTTATGAGCCTATTCAATCACCTGCAGAACGGAACTAATAGTTGGACTTTTTACTTTAATTCCTCACTTGTGCAGCATACTAAAGTAACAATTATCGCATATAAAAACCATTATTCTGCAAGGTTTGTTTCCCTACAGATACTGAGATTATATTTGGGAAGGGGGAAGGAATAATTCATAAACGAGTGAAGTGCTTTTGCACCACACAAATGTATTTGATAAAAACTAATACGCATGCCTCAAGTATCAATGAAAATGTCAACAGGTCTCACCTCTTTCTCCCCCTTTAAGAGGGGAATCCGACCAAGCTGTGCAGAGTGGACATGCTGTGATTATAATATCATTGCGAATAAACTGGTTTATCTCACTGGAATTCGAGTCCTCAAGTATCAAAACCTGCCAGAGAAGATATAAATGACACTTCAATGGTCCATTTATCTACTATCTGATAAGGAAGATTGGAGATGTTGGACGGAACAGCAGATTATTCCAGAGCTAGCATTTTCTTACCTCAAGACAAAAGTCATGTTTCTTTATTAATGCACAAACAACTACAGAATCTGTTGGATAAATTGTCATGTCTTCAAATTCCTCAGAGTCATCTTCCTGAATCACATAAAGGGAAATTATATTTAAGCATTAATAAAAGACAAGGATGATATCTAGAAAGCAACGTACACAA